CCGGTCACGAAAAAAGACAAAAAGGAAAAAAAAAAAAAAAAAAAAAAAAAAAGAAAGAAAGAAAAAGGTGACTGAAAAGAATGATTCTAGATGGCTGGAATTCTTACAAAGAATGGCAAACTCCTTACCAACTCTGCTTCTCCAGTCGGTATGGGCCAGTGGTTCTCAAGTATGGTCCCTAGGCCAGCAGCATCAGCAGCACCTGGGAACCTGTTAGAAATGCAAATCTCTGGACACACTCCAGACCTATAGAATCAGGAACTATGAAGGTGAAGGCCCAGAAATCTGTATTTTAATAAGCTTTTTGGTAATTATGATATACTGAACCTGTTAGAAATGCAAATCTCTGGACACACTCCAGACCTATAGAATCAGGAACTATGAAAGTGAAGGCCCAGAAATCTGTATTTTAATAAGCTTTTTGGTAATTATGATATACACTGATGTTTGAGAACCAATGGTGTAGGAGAGAGCTCACTGGTGCCCGTGTCCTATTTCTGGTTTAGCCTAGTAGCTACATGATGGCTGAAACCCTAAATCCCTCAAAATTTAGTCTCTACAGGGTATAACGCAGGGTTTCAAATGATGCCTGACGGCCCTTCTGGTCTAAACTTCTGTGAAATATCAGAGGCAGAAAGAAAGTAAATACACAATCCAATGGCTAGATTCATTCACTGAATCAAATACTTAACATACCGGGCAGTGTTTTGTGCATGGAATCAATGCATGACACAAAATTACTCCTTTTTAATTAAATAAGTTGCAATATTTCACACTACAAACTTTTTTTTTTCCTTTTTGTCTTTTTTACTGACCGGTAACGGGATCGCAACCCTCGGTGTTGCGCCCGCACCACGCTCAGCCAGTGAGCGGGAACCGGTCTCCACATAGGATCCAAACCCTCGGCGGGAGCGCCACAGCACTCCCAAGCCGTGCACTCTCCAGTGCGGCTCAGCCAGTGAGCGGGAACCGGTCTCCACATGGGATCCAAACCCTCGGCGGGAGCGCCACAGTGCTCCCAAGCCATGCACTCTCCAGTGCACCACCAGGCCGGCCCCACACTACAAACTTTTACCTGTCCTTGGTCTACAAGATTCTTACACTGCATCTGTCATACAGTGTGCACTGAAAAACAGAAAATGATCCAAAAGGTTCTCATCACCCCTTCCCCAAAACCACTTTGACTTTAATTCTTGAACATTTTTGTGTTTGCTTAAGGGGCTTCAGTACCAATGTGTTAGAAGACAAGCATGTGATAATAAATGTGATTTCCTATCAAATTACAATATCTCCGCGTCTACATTACTTCATGGCGTAAGGTTGCTTGCTCTTTTAGGAAATCTAATTCCATCTAATTCTCTCTCCTCATTGATTCTCTCTTCTCAGCAATTAGTTGCCACCTGTACTGCTTGAATGACCTATACTGCCATTCTTGCTTCCTTATGATCTTCCTCCCTCCCTAAATGAACTCTCATATACCCCACCACACAAACTCGGAGCACTTAGTGGGTTCTTGTAACTTGTTTTAGACTAGTGAGTTTAAATATCTAAGTTAAGACTTTTTAAGAAAAACAAAAAACAAAAAAGTCAGCACACTTGGACGTTTGAAACTTTTAACTTATCCATGTTTCACTGCATTTGCAAGGACAGGAGATGGCGCCAGAAGTCAGTGGAATGCCTTGGCTTTAAGAGGGTTGTAACCAACCCCAGGGTGAGAAAAGGACTTGAGAGGGAGAAGTCAGAACTGAAACAAAGATGCCAGAGTTTGAGGAGAAACTAAGATGGAGATGGGGGCTGGGAAGGAGGGTATCACTTTTTTTTACTTTAAAACATGTAATGGTCCTCTTGACACCTATTCCAAATCAGCACGGTTAGAAAGCAGCAACAGAAATATTCACAGTAAAGGCAAAGGTCAAAATAAAGTCAACTCCCTGGATGACAGTGCTTTCCTCCTTTCTCTCTCCCTCCTAGAAACCAGGGCTTTTGTCCATTTGGGAAGCACGAGAGCCTGGAGAGGCGGTACACTCAGGAGCGGGGAAGTGTTGAATTGGGGCTAAGACATCTTTGCCCGACAAATTGTGCAGGCAAAATCCCAAAGCCCACCAGCAGTGAAATACTTCCCAGAAAGAATCACATATAAAACATTTTAAATTAAAATTTAAAAATTCATAAGCGAGCCAGGAGGTGGCACATAGCAAGACATACTATCTTCCCAGAAGGCTGAATATCAGGCCTGGACGCTCCACGGGAACTCTGTCCTGGCAGAGGTCATTCTGTCCAGACCTCTTTTTTCATCCTAGACATCTCTGCTTGCTTGCTTTTTTCTGTTCTGCTGTGTTAACCACCCTGATTCCTAGGAAATCTAATTTACACTTTATGCCTTTTATTCTTCTTAGATGAGATGGATAAGCCCTTGGGGGAGCATCAAAACATAAAACTTTCCTGTAGGGGAAAAATAATTCAGAGGGTGATGAGAGAATAAAAAGGGAAATGACATCTGCAAAATGGCTTTGCTTTGCAGATCAATCACAGGGGACAGAAAGACACTGCGAGCTCCAGTCTCTGTAGGAGCTGATGATCCAGCACATGTATTATTCTGTTCATTTATTTGCCTTTTGTCCTGCTCCCTTATTTGGCTTCTGCTCTCCTTGTTTGGCTATTTATTGCTACTCAGCAGGAGCAAGGAGGGCAGATGGAGCTCAAATGGGTGCATCCTCCTGACCGGTGACTCTGGTGAAGGGTATGGAGGAGAAAGAGGTTTCAACGTCCAGCTTGCAATTGTCTGTGTGTTTCACATTCTCTAATGAGGGACTTAGGATGTACATTCCAATCAGGATTTCCAGTCCCGTGGGAGAGCACACACCAGCCCACATTCCTGGGACACACAGGCTCCATGCTCCACTGGCCCAGCTCCATGGTGGCAGGTTTCACTCCGTCCCACACGTCCTGCCTCAGCCCTTTGTTGGGCAGGAGGGAAGACCCTGGGCCCCTCTTCCATCTGGATCACATGGTCTCATTCTGGTCCCTCCCTTCTCTTTATCCGGAGCCCGCCTTTTTCTGATGGTGGTAGTGATTGTTTCTAAGGTCTCTCCATCTTTCCTCCTGCCCCAGCCTTTCTGCCAGGGGTCAGTGTCCTCTTCAGTGACAAAAGCCGCCCTAGATCTGGGCTCCCTGGGGAGGGAGGTGGCTGGGTCTGGCAGTTAGAGCCGCTGTCTCTCCATGGTGCTGCTTCAGCCCCTCCCCCACTGGGCACACAAATGGGCTTTATACAGCAAACAAAACCACTCCCCCACCCCCAGTCCACACAGGCACGTGGACCCAGGCCTCACCGTGGGAAGGGGGTGGTGACAGGCACAGGAGAAAGAAATTGCTCCAGAAAAGTTCTCGCCTCACTTTTCCTTATTTTTTACAAACTAGGTTTTAGTCCTTCACTGGCTTCCTACCCACCACCTGCTCCCTGAGCCCCCAACTCCTTCTTGTTATCTATTTCTTAACTCTGAACTATTCCTATTCCAGGGCAGCTCAGATTCTGCAGGGGACTGGGAACAGGTCCCCCCACCATCTTTCTCATACCACCCAGGGAGCTATTCCTCAGAGAAGTCAGGTGGGGAAATGAGAACACAATGTCCTCTTGAGGGGGCTGGATAGGACCCCAAATCTCCCCTTCCTCGCCCCCGCCTGCTCCAGGGGACACCGTCTCAGCAGTGTCTGTGTACCGCAGAGGAAGAAAGAGCTCACCGCAGCTGGGCTCCTGAGCTAGGGCTGGGGCTCCTGTGAAACCCGCTGTGCACTCTGGCTCTGAGCAAGTTCATCCTGCGTGCCTAATCGGCTATTTAAGGAGCTGTTCACCAGCAGCCCAGGCAGCCCCCGCTCCCCACGTACACCCGTCCAGAGCCACCTTAAAAGCAGGAGGCAGTTGTGAAGTCGCTGGCCAGCAAGTGGAGTGGAGACTGCAGAGGGAGAAAAAGAGGGCAGAGAGAGGCGCAGCAAGTAATTTGTCCTGGGGACCCAGAAATCCATGGAACCCTACTGAAAACCAAATCCTCTGGGAGCCAGCAGAGACACAAGAGACAGCAAGAGAAAAAGAGATAAATACACTCAACACAAGGATTCTCCTCTTTCTCTCTCTCTCTCTCTGTCTGCCCTAGTCCTCTAGTCCCCAAACTCCCAGTTCCCTGTGCCCCTTTCTGGGATACCATGTTGTTCTTCGCCCTCCTGCTAGAGGTGACTTGGATCCTGGCTGCAGATGGGGGTAGGTATAACTGGATGTCTGTGTGTCAGTCTGTGCCGATGTCCACAAGTCGCCAAGTGTGCTTAATGGGGGCAGGAGATGTGTAAAAAGAAGTCTAAGGGTTGAAATAACAAGCTCGGGGATGGGGAAAAAGAAAGGAATGTGGAGGAGTCCACTTGCCTTCTTCTCCCTTTGCCCTTACAGCTTTGCTGTTATTGGGGATGAAGGAGAAAAAGCCAGGGGCAGGGGGTATACACACACACAAATGCAGGAATCTCTTTGCAGGCTACAGATTCTCTCCAGAGCTTTTCCGCCCACTGCCCTAGTCCCAGGCAGCGCTCCTGGACTTCTTTACTTATGAACTCCTCCAATTAGGGAGCCAAAGAGGCCTGGAGTGAAAGGAGAGACCTGATGGGGTGGGGGAGTTTACCCTACACCTCCTGCCCAACTTGGACCCTGATTTCCAACTGATCACCTCATGGTCAAGGCCCCCTCTTCATTCTATGGCACAACTAGCCAATTTCCCAGTTTTCTCCTGAGAGTATAGCAATAATACAGTTTACAAAGGACTTTCAGGAGCTCCCAGGAGATAAATAGGGTTTCTTGGGACAACAGGCCAAAGTGCTCCAGGAGTGTCCCCAGAGAACCCTATACCTCATTTTTGTGTTTTCTGCACCTAGCCCAGTATCCAGCACATAGTTGGTGTGTAATTAAGGTTTGTTGGAAGAAGGTGGGGGGGACATGTCTAGAGAGCAGAAAGGGAGTGCAGAGAGGATGATGTGGAGGAGAGGGAAGCCAAATGGAGAGTCGCAAATTTCATCTGAGGAGAAAGAAAAAAAAATAGGGAAAGAAGAGGAAGAGATGTAGAATCAGTGTTTAGATTTGATGGGAGGAGAAGACCACCTTCACAAAACCAGGGGATTCAACTTTTTGGGGTGTCCCACAGAGCTGGTAAATAAGAGGCTGCCTCCAGCCCTTCCTTGGGCTGCTTTTCAGAGTTGTCTGAACCAAGGAATGGGACAGCAAAATACACCACGGATAAAATCCAGGACGTTTTACAAATCTGAGGAACTTAAGGGAATAAGGGAGAGACAGGATGGAACTTAGGATTTCTCTCTAGAGTTTCCAGCCATTTGAATATTTCAGCGATAACCTACAAGAAGGCCTCCCTTTTCTACCTGAAGCAGTTTGGCCCTCGGTAGGTGCTGGACCGGCAGACACCTAGCCTTTCGGCCAGAAACAGGACTGCATGAGAGCCTGCCATGTGACTAAGCTGGCAGCTCTTTTCTATACACAATGCTTCACTTTCATCCTGTCCCTACCAGCCTGGCTGCCTGTGCCCACCCACCACCTTCAACCTAGAGTAGACCCTGCCTTGATTCCTGCCATTCCCTAGCCGTCTGGGAATGAAGGCTTCTGGTGATGAGGAATTTCCTCTAGAGCTACTGGGACCAAAAAGGAAGAATTTAAATATTAATTTGGACGTCAGTGGCCTAATTCATGCAATGCTTCAAAGCAAAGGAATAATACTTTTTCTCCCTTCAGCAGCACTCCTCACCCCCATACACACACTCTCTGAACTTCTTTCCTCTCCCCCCATTTCTAGTCCCTTTCCTCCAGACTCCCTGCTTGCACCCTCACTCTACCCCACACCAATTTTCTAAGTGTTAGATAGACTTGGCACGGGCTGGAGCAAAATAAAGGTTGGGCCGCCTGAACATTTGGATACAGGTTAATTTTAGTCTCCAGGTTTTATCTTTTCGTTTTTCCTCCCCCTTTACTCACCAAACACAAGCGCAGCCTGGCTGGTGATTCTAAATAGGCCCCCTGACCTTTCCTCCAAGGTGTCCTGTTACAGGGCTTCCTTTAGGAAGTGCTGAAGTGGAGGGAGGAAAGAGAGCAGAGGGAGGTGGAGCAGTACGGAGCTCCTGAGGGAGGGCAGAGTGGAGGCCAGGGCCCTGCCCTGGGCCATGCTGGCTGTAACCCAAATTATTCTGCCTTGCAGGTCAGCACTGGACGTATGAGGGTGAGAGCAGAACCGAGGCCTATCAATGCGACACCCCTTTCATACTGAGACCTCCCCAACTGGCAGGAAGACATGTCATGTGGCTGGGGAGGTTTCCTTGAGCTTCTTACCCTAGCTCCTCTCTTCTCCATCTCCCTATGCCCTGGGTTTTGCATATATGGCTCCTAGGCCCTGTTCTAATCATCAAACCCCACACCTCCTGATTCAGCAGGAAAGCCAGTTAGGCCTTCAATAAATCCATGTGGGAGTTGGGGAACTGGAATGGAAAGGAAACTGGGTGGGGAAAAGAATCTTGATCTTAGCTGCCAGTTCTCCTGGCTCTCTCTACCCTAATTGGTCCTAATCCCATCCTGCATCTGACATTAGGACAGAGATTGAGGACAGGTGTGAGGAAGAGGCTGGCAGAATAGTTTGACCCTGGGGGAGGGGGAACTCAATTCCCTTGAACTTCTGATTAATGACTTAACTGAACTCCAGAGTCAATGCAAGGTCCAGTGTGAGAACAAGAAGTGAAAGTAAGGATATCTGAATCCCAAGACCACTTGACAGGTGGCCCCAAGGACACCCCGTCTCTCTAGGATAATTTTATTTCCCCCTGGTTTTTCTATTCCAACTCTCTAATCCCACCTCGCGGATATTCAGGCTTTCTAGCCCTCTTCCTCTCATTCAGCTCTCTTGTCCTTGAACTATAGGTAAGTAAAAGAGCCACCACTCCCCATTTATCAGGACAGATGGGGAGTTATCACTTCCTTCTGGGTAGCTGAGGGAAACAGCAACATAAAGTCCAGCAGAGACTCCTACCTCACCCAGCCCTTTACAATTGGGGCTGGAGGGAAGTGTATTTCTACCTCCACACAGGTGTATAACTGAGAGGTGGGTGGTGTTAAAGGGTGGCTGGGGCTTGTGGGCAGGACAAATGTCCATGATAACCCCCACCAGGCCCACATGGTCAGGACCATTGGCCAGCCTCCTATCCTGAATGTGGAAGCAATGCCCAGTCCCCCATCGATATCCAGACAGACAGTGTAACATTTGACCCTGAGTTGCCTGCTCTGCTGCCCCATGGATATGATCAGCCTGGCATCAAGCCTTTGGACCTGCACAATAACGGCCACACAGGTAAAAGCCCAGGCTCTGGGGAGTTGCAGGGCTCCAGTTGAAATTTTAGGAGTTGGGGAAAGAAGCATTCTCATAACTTGTGAATTCTCAAAAAGCTTCATCCATGAATTTGGGGATAGGAAAATGAGGATCAGGCTCTGTAGCCAAGGTAGGAATTGAAATGTCTATGATCGAGCTCGATGGGTAGATTTGTATCATAGCACTGACTTGATCTTCACTAGGAAAAGGGGAGATAAGCTTTAAAAAAAAAAAAAGAAAAAAAGCATTGGCCTACAGGAAGAAATGGGAAGAAGTGGGGGAGGAAGGTGGAAGGTGAAAGAGGGCCAAGTCTCCAAAGAAGGGTTGGCAATCCAGGGATAGGAAGGTTTCCACATTTCTCCACCAATCCTAGCTTATTCTTTTCCTCACAGTGCAACTCTCTCTGCCCCCTACCCTGTATTTGAGCGGACTTCCCAGAAAATATGTAGCTGCCCAGCTCCACCTGCACTGGGGTCAGAAAGGATCCCCAGGGGGGTCAGAGCACCAGATCAACAGTGAAGCCACAGCTGCAGAGGTACCAGAGAACAAAAAGCTTGGACCAGGACATAGTGACAGGGATGGTTGGTCGTAGGGAAAGGAAGGATTTGGACACTGAAAAGAGTCATACTGGGGGGATAAGGTCAATCTTTGTGGTACAGACTTAGGGCATGATGGGGGGGGTGGCTAGGGTCAAGGCCTTGGCGGGGGTGGGGAAACATTAAATGACTTGATTCCCTCTCCCTTCCCTCAGCTCCACATCGTACATTATGACTCGGATTCCTATGATAGTCTGAGTGAAGCTGCTCAGAGGCCTCAGGGCCTGGCTGTCCTGGGCATCCTAATTGAGGTCAGTGGCCCAAACTCCCTCCCAGGTCTCTCTCCACTTTCTCTGTACCCCTCAGTCCTATTCGGTTGTTGACCTCCCTCCCAAGGCAGACAAAAACCCACACTGACCATTTATTCTCTACAAGAACTCCAAACACTGACTCTTTCCAAACTCTCTCCCTTTCCTTCCCTTCCAGGTGGGTGAGACTAAGAATCCAGCTTATGAACACATTCTGAGTCACTTGCATGAAATCAGGCATGAAGGTGAGCCCTAAAAATCTATAGTACAAAGAAGTGAGATTAGACTTTAGAGAAGCTTTCAAACACTGACCTAAGACGCCTTGAGAAGAGGCAATGAGTTAAGACAGGGGGTTTTGCTTCTGGGAGCCCTGTCTAGGTAAAGTAGGGCACAGTGAGAAGAAGATGAGTCCTAGTCTATTCTCCCCAGATCAGAAGACCTCAGTGCCTCCCTTCAACGTGAGAGAGCTGCTCCCACCACAGCTAGGGCAGTTCTTCCGTTACAATGGCTCACTCACAACTCCCCCCTGCTACCAGAGTGTCCTCTGGACAGTCTTCAATCAAAGGGCCCAGATTTCAATGGGACAGGTGAGTGGTGTAGAGGTGAAGTGAAAGAGAGACATAGTTGTAACCTCAGACCCTTTCCCACTCCACAAAGTGACACTTCTCCAACTCTTCTATTCCTCAGCTGGAAAAGCTTCAGGAGACATTGTTCTCCACAGAAGAGCCCTCTAAGCTTCTGGTACAGAACTACCGAGCCCCCCAGCCTCTCAATCAGAGAACAGTCTTTGCTTCTTTCATCCAAGGTGACTGTGCAGGGCTCAGAAGAGATGGGAAACTGGGGGACTCAATGACAGGAACTAGGGAGCCCCTGGGAAGTAAAAGGCAAAGAGGGGAAGGAGTTTCCAGGACTTGCTTGGACTGGGAACCTCCCACCAACCCTGGTGGTTCCCAGCTGATTTTCCCAGACATAGGAGAGTGTGCTGTTCCCAGCTGGGATAGGGATCTGAAGTCCCACTGACCCAACTTTTCTTTCCTTACAGTGGGATCCTTGTATACCACAGGTAAGACAGCCCTACCCAGGTATTGAGGGGATGGGGGTGCGGAGAAGCTCCTCAGCAAATGGGGGAAAGGCTCAGTATCTATGTTAGTCCTAGACTGATACTTTCCATCTTTATCTCCCCCAGGTGAAATGCTGAGTCTAGGTGTGGGCATCTTGGTTGGCTGTCTCTGCCTTCTGCTGGCTGTTTATTTCATTGCTAGAAAGATTCGGTGAGGTCCTACTTTCCATCCTTTGGTCCTTTCTTTTGTATTAAAAAGCATTCTCCTATTCCACCCCTAATCTGCTTCACTTAGGACACTAGTCATTCCCATGAACCATTCCTCCTTCCAGGAAGAAGAGGCTGGGAAACCGGAAGAGTGTGGTTTTCACCTCAGCACGAGTCTCCACTGAGGCATAGACTCCCTCTTAGATATTGTGGATGCCTTCCCCTCATGCCTATCAGGAAGCCTCTAAGATGGGGTGCAAGGACTGGCTAGAAAATACTGTAGCAGTAGCAGGCAGACACCCCTTCTTCCTCTGGATATCCCCTACAGAGAGGTATGGACCCACGCTCTTGTTCAAGGGAGCACAGCAGAGCCTTCAGTTTCTCAAAATATGCAGGAGAAAATCAGGAGATCCCTGTGTTGTTAATGCAGAGAATAAATTGTGTTTAGTTGTAGGGGATGTTGGGATGAGCCCCGAAGTCTCCTATTCCCTTACCTTTATGTCACTTTTCCTGGATATATTGCAGGATTTACCCTTAGGAAAAGGGGGTTATATATTTTTGCTCAATATATTGGAAATTAAAGTTTCTGACTTTAATCCTGCCCTATCCTTTGGGGTATCTTGAGGGTGGGATAGTTTCTTAATCCCTCAGGTGGCAGAGATGGGCAAAGGATAGGGAAAAAAAGCATGGGTGATTAATTCCTTTTATCCCACCCCTGGAAGGGAAGATCGACTTCTGGGAAAATACTTAGCCCAAAGTTTTTGACACATTAAACTCCCAGCCCAGATTTCTGCCCTTGCACCTAAGCTATGCTTAGAGATGAGTGAGTGGTTACCAGGTTAGGAAAGAGGCTGAACAAGAGAAATGAGAGGACAGAAATTTCAAATGACACGTTATCCCCTCCCTTTTTAAAAGCCAAGTTCCCCCACAATTATAAAGCTATTTTTATTAGTCAAAATCACAATCATCTTGATTAAAAGGATGGGACACTCCACCCTCAGCAGAAAATGATACAGTTTATAGAAAACCTCCCCACCCCTCCCACACCCCAATTAAAAATTAGAAAAATCTGCCCTCCTTCCCTATGATGTAATGGTAGTCTGACTCCTCCAATGGCACTGAAACTCTGGAGTGGGCCAGCTCACCACAGCACTCTCCACTTCACCTTGGGGAGAGGAGGGATGCTGGTGGTCAAGGAGGTTTAAACCATTAGGTTCCAGTAATACCAGTACCCAACTATGCACTTCCTTCCTTTCCCCCAGGGCCTGGGACCAAGGGGAAAGGAACAGAAATGAACCCAGCCATGAGGAGCAATTTGAAGAAAGGAAATATAGCCCAAGAGGTTAGAAGAGTTCCAACATATCTCCTCCCTCCATTTACAAAAAAAAAAAAAAAAAAAAAAAAGGCAGTTTGGGGTCTTTATCACCAAAAATGGTTCCCCTCAGACCTGAGAAAAAGAAAAAGATGTCCAGTCTGGGGAGGGGGTACTGGGAAACTCAGAGCTCATCTACCCTTGAGCCTCCATTAATTTCATCTCCAGGGCAATGGCTAAACTAGGTCCCTTTTCTTGGCAACCTGCACTGTCCAGAACTGGAGATGAAGAAATACAGGGCGAGGAGATCAGGAGGGCACCCCAGGCCCAGGGGCCCCCCCAGGTTCCCTCAGTCCTCGGGTGGGATGCGCAGGGCAGAATACACCATCACCCGACTGTCCTCCTGCCGTCGGCCTGCAGAGGGGAAGGGGGGTGAGTCTTGGGCAGGATGAGAGCAGAGCAATGACACATGGGGAGTCCCGGACAACAAGGGGTCCCCAGGTGGTAGGGATAAGTGCAGATTCAAACCCACCAGTCACTGACTGGCTGAACCCAGGCTGTTCCTGCTAAAGCTTAGAGACTAAAGGTCACAAATGGACAAATCAAAACCCTAAAGGTGGTGGGCTAGACCAATGAGAAGGAGGCAGAGAATGTAGGCAATGGACCCGGGCCAGGGCTGGGCTCAGTCATGGGCAGTGGACAGGCAGGTGGGATCTGTCAGGCGACCAGTCCAGGTAGTCAGTCCTTACAAGAGAGGCTGTGCTGGATACTTCGGAGGGACCCTCCAGCTGTGATGAAGGCCCAGAGCCCCATGGAAACAGTGACTGCATAGATGGGCAGCAGGCTGGCCTCATACCAAGGGTTCAGGAATGTCTAGGAATGAAGGTAAGAGTAGAAAAGAGGTTAGATTCTCCCCCCACCTAATCCCTATATTCTCTTTGTGCCTTTGACTCAAACTTCCCCCAGATATCTCTCTCAAATTCCCCAGTCTTTTCCTTTGGAGCAACAACATCTTGTAGTTAAAATGACTCGATTTTTCAGCTCCCTCAAAGGCTTCTGCCATTCCAGCTCACCTCAGGCCCTCTGCATTAAGTTTGACTAATCCATTCCTACTCCTCCCCAGAGTAGGGGGTATAATTGATGCTGAGGTGAGAGACCTCTAAAGACTCCCCCTTCTGCCACCTCCCAAGGTAAGTTTAAAATGTTAAGTAAGGATGTACTTTCTCCCGCATCCCACTCACCATTAAATGCCTTTCTCCCTAACTCAGGCCCCTTTCTCCAACTCACCAGTCCTGATGTCAGTAGGTGACTCCCAACCACCAGGCCCAAAGCCCAGTACCGTCTCCTCTCACAGGCATCAAAGAACACAACTCCCCAAAAGGTATGGAGCAGGATAATGGCTGCTGTCAGAAAGGCTGCAGGGAGGGAGATGGAGATGAGATGCATCCCTGATCTTCTCCCACCCTCCTGAGACGTTGAGCCAAAGAAGTCTCCCAGGGATGACCAATGAATCAGATCAAGGACACAGATAGATGGGGCATGAAGGCAAGATAGGAAACAAGTCTTACCTGAAGTCAGGAAGTAATAGGGTGAGTCTCCATGGATCCCAACCACACCTGGCCCAAGTGCATCGGCCAAAATATTGATAACAGAGAAGACACCACTGATGATACCGAAGGAGAGACCAGAAACTGGGGGGAGGGAGGGTCTTATCAATGTCAGAGATTACTATAGCCTGATTACCAGTGACCCCTCCCAGTCACAATTCTCCCACACCTACTCTCCCTCCAGACCACCTCTCCTTAGTAGTCAGGTATGAAGGAAAACAAGAAGCCTCTTAGAACATGTGGATATTTACAGACTATCCTAGAGAAGGGGGTTGTCCAACTCCCTCCTCCAGTCCCTCTCCCTTGGCTCACCATAGGCCATTTGGCGGATGGAGATGGGTGATCTTCCGTCCTCACTCAGCGATGCTAACCCCTCATCTGCCTTCCTGGGGTAGGGCAGGGTAGGGGAAACATGAGGGAAGGCAGGGATGCTCCTTACCCTCGAATGTCCTCCCATAGTACCTCCTCTTCCAAATCACCACCCAGGGGCTGCCCCACTTCCCATAGTGCAATCCTCTGCCCCTCACCCATCCAGACCACCCCGTCTTCTTACTTAAGCAGCTTGTAGTAGGCAAAGCGGAAGGCCTCCTGTAGAAGAACAGAGACTGCAGCACCAAAAATCAGGAGGCCATACTGGAGTCGGGCATCTGACCGGTCGGTCACATGGACCAAGATGAACCAGACCACAGAGGCCAGGAGCAGGGAGACCAGCCAGAAAAATGCCCTGAGAAAAGACAAGGGAAATGAGACAGGCACGGGTAGGAGCAGCCAGAGAAATCAAGGAGGGGAACGGCCAAGGCTGCAGCATGTAAAGTGGAAGTTAGACTTCCGGATGGTCAGGGAGACAGGGACCAGATAGGGTAGATGTCTCCATCAAGGGACTCATCTGTAGGAATCTGGACGCAGGGAAAGGGACAGAAATCTGGTTAGAGTCTTCAGAGCGGTGAGAACCAGAGCGTGCGAGCACGAAGGGCGAGGTATCCATTCCTGGATCCTTCCTTAGGGAACCTGACTTGGCTGGCCTAAGTCAACACAGCCCCCTCACGAGTCTCGGCCTTAGGCCTCCTCTGACGTCGCTGGGAGGAACATAGGAGGAATCTATGCGATCCCCGGAAGGCGGAAACCCATTACCGGAAAGGGCAAATCGCCCAGAACCCCGACCCGACCCTGTCCAACCTTCACCTCCGACATATCTTTCCCAATTCAGGCTCCCAGGCTCGCCCCAGTTCCTCCAGCCCTTTCAGCGTCTCTTGTCTTCGATGCGCTCCCGTGTCTCCCCGACCCCCTACTCACCCTGCAACCAGGATGATAACGCGAAGAGGGTCCCCAGCCACAGTGATCAAGAAAAGTGCGAAGGCCGGGCCGAACGCGACGAAAGTGCATCCGAAAAACACTGCAGCCCCCATGGCTGGCCAGCTGGGGGTGGAGTGGAGGTCTGGCCAAGAGAGGCGAATGGAAGGAGCACTCCAGCTGGGGAGTCCGCGTGGGGTGACGACGCGACCCCACAGGGGGCGCGGCGCAATGTCACCCCCGGACCCCGGGGAAGGGGGGGGCACCGAAACCCCAGATGAAGGTCCGCGCTACTTCCTCTACGGAAGCCGAGGAGGGGACAACCCCCGACTGCAGCCCCATGGCCACCTCCCCTGTAATCCCCACCCCCGGAAGGCCAATGGTGACGGGGGGGGGGGGG